TTTCATGCCTGTTTAACATGTGCCATTAATTATTAGCCTCTCCAGAATACAAGTGATCGCAGAACTAGATGTATTTGGAAATGTGCATTTCAAAAGCTGGTTGGGGGGCAGGGAATCGATCAAATCCTGTAAAACAGATCTCAAATCTGCTTAATTTCATTTTGATTTTCTTGCTTTCTTTGCTTCCTCATAGAGTGTCTGTCAGCTGCCAAATAAAGAAGATGGAGCAGCCTGTCCACACAAAAGAACTGTTAGCCAGTAAAGCTAAGAATACATTAGATGTGTGGTACATCATGGGCATTTGTTTGAAGTTCTACATTCAAATCTCTACTTCCATATTCTGAACCTGACATTTACTAGGTATCTGATTTCTTTGTGTTACTACACAGTGGAAGACACTGTACAGCTGCAGGGCTCTATAATCTCTTATTAGCAAGAATACTGTACTTCAGCTCACAACTGGAAGATGGCTCTTTATATCCAGTTTCAGAATTATGTCCTACTTTGTCATGCTGCTTTGACATTACTTCTTAATATGAATGCTAGCACTGTAACCGTGCAGTGGTTGAACACCAGTAATTTATAGGTCAGGACAGTTGTGCTGGATCTTTCTTGAATATGCATGTCATTCTTGCAACAGGCCTCTGGGAAAGTGAAGGGTGCAGAATTCTGGAATATGTGTACTTAAATAGGCAGTAAATCTAGAACGTCTGGATGGCTGAATTCCAAATGACTTGTAACCTCACACTTGTCTTCAATGTATACTTTTCCTTCAATATAGGGATGCTGCCTGGACGTGTAGAGATGGGATCAGGAAAGCCAAGGCATAGTTGGAGTTGAATTTGGCAAAGGATTCAAAGAATAATAAGAAGGGCTTCTACAGGTGTGTTGGGCAGAAAAGGAAGATGAAAGAAAATGCACACGCCACACCACACCCCCCGATAAATAAGACAGGAGAACTAGTGGCAACCGTCATGGAGCAGGCTGAGGTACTCAGCAATTTTTTTTGCTTCAGTTTTTAATGGTAATCTCTCTTCCCACATCTCTCAAGCCCCTGAACCTCAAGACAGGGACGGGGTGAATGAAGTCCCTCCAATCGTAAGTTCAGGACCACCTGAGGAACCTGAACATACACAAGTCCATGGGACCCAATAAGATGCATTCCAGGGTCCTGAGGGAATTGGCTGATGCAGTAGCCAAGCCACGCTCAATCATATTTGAAAAGTCATGGCAGTCAGGCAAAGTCCCCAGTGACTGGAAAAAGGGAAACATCACACCCATTTTTAAAAAGGGTAAAAAGGAGGAACCTAGGAACCACTGACCAGTCAGTCTCACCTTCGTGCCCAGTAAGATCATGGAACAGATCCTCCTGGAAGACGCGTCAAAACATATGGAAGACAGGGAGGTGATTAAAGACAGCCAACATGGCTTCACCAAGGGCAAATCGTGCCTGACTAATCTAGTGTCCTTCTACGATGGAGTGACTGCATCAGTGAACAAGGGAAGAGCTATGGATGTCATCTACCTGGACTTCTGTAAGGCCTTTGATATGGTCCCCCACAACATTCTTGCTGCTAAATTGGAGAGATACGGGTTTGATGGATGGACTGTTAGCTGGACAAGAAATTGGCTGAATGGCCACGTCCAAAGAATTACAGTCAATGGCTCAATGTCCAAGTGGAAACCAGTAACAAGTTGTGTCCCTCAAGGGTCCATACTGGCACCAGTACTATTTAGTATCTTCATCAGTGACACAGGTAGTGGGATTGAGTGCACCCTCAGCAAGTTTGAGGATGACACCAAGCTGAGTGGTGCAGTTAATTCACTAGAGGGAAGGGATGCCACCCAGAGGGACCTTGACAGGCTTGTGGTGTGGGCCAGTGTGAACCTCATGAAGTTCAACAAGGCCAAGTGCAAGGTCCTGCGCATGGGTCAGCGCAGTCCCCAGTATCAATACAGACTGGAGGATGAATTGGTTGAGAGCAGCCCTGTGGGACACTGGTGGATGAAAAATTGGACATGAGCCAGCAATGTGCACTTGCAGCCCAGAAAGCCAATCATATCCTGGGCAGCATCAAAAGAAACGTGGCCAGCAGGTCGAGGGAGGTGATTCTGCCCCTCTACTCTGCTCTGGTGAGACCCCACCAGGAGCACTGCATCCAGCTCTGGGGTCCCCAGAACAAGAAAGACATCGACCTGTTAGAGCAGGTCCAGAGGAGGGCCACAAAAATGATCAAAGAGCTGCAACACCTCTCCTGTGAGGAAAGGCTGAGAGAGTTGGGGTTGTTTAGCTTGGAGAAGAGAAGGCTCTGGGGACACCTTATTGCAGCCTTTCAATATGTAAAGGGGGCTTATAAGAAAAGGCAAGGAGAGACTTTTTACCAGGGCCTAAAGTGACAGGACAAGGGGCAACAGTTTTAAACTGTAAAGAGTGTAGATTTAGACTGGATGTAAGGATGAACTTCTTTACTATGAGGGTGGTGAGACACTGGAACAGGATGTCCAGAGAAGTTGTGGATGCCCCATCATTGGAGGTGTTCAAGGCCAGGTTGGACGGGGCTTTGAGCAAACTGATCTAGTGAAAGATGTCCCTGCCCATGGCAGGGGGGTTGGACTAGATGGTCTTTGGAGATCCCTTCCAACCCAAACCATTCAATGATTCTATGATTCACTCTTATTCCAGACTTGTGCCCCAAGATCAGGATTACTGTGGTGCACTATATTTCATAGGCAGTGATATATTAAGTAAAAATGTGAGAACTCATGTTCTGGAAATGGGCTGCACAATCAATAATGTACATGATCCATCCCCTAGGCTGGTCAGTTCAAGCCTTGTGCAGAGTATTATTTCTGGTTATATGCTTTGTGTGATCTTCTCCTTAAATTGTTTCCTAAATGTATTGGAAATGCTCTGGTAAATGCTGTAGTTTCCTAAATTTTTTGCTGTTTCCTTGCTGGTATTAGATGTCATTATAGCAGGGAGAGGCAGCCTGCTTACATATAGGCAGTACTGTGACACAAAGAAGATATCCCTTTGGGCCATCCAATCTAATTTAGAGTGTTTTATTTTTTTGTCTAAAGATTGTGTCTGAGTGCCATGCACAGCATGTGTCTGTTTTCCCATTCTTTTAACAAGATTATCTATGTCTTTCAGTTGTGTCTTTTCTTGGACAGGACAGGACTGGCTATTTTTTTTTTGTTTTAAAACTGAACAAGCATATAGCCCCAAAGGGTGCTAATATGAATTATTACCTTAACACCTTTGTGACTGTATGAAAAGGTTTCTGTGCAAATCCAGTTTGTCTTAATCTTGCAATGCATTTGGCAGTTGTATGGAATTTCTACCTTTTAAAACCTATCTGTAATACGCTTGCAGGAGTTTCTGGGGAGGCCCTAGCTCATAGAGTGTGAAAAAGACATCTTTGACTACATCCAGTGGAAGTACCAAGAACCAAAGGACTGGAGTGAATAATGGCTTGTCTAAGTTTGTTACCTAATGGCACATTTTCATAGCTTTTTATGTGCGGGCATACTTAAGAACAAGTGCAAAAATTGTATGTTACTGATGCTTTAAAGCAGGTCCTCCATGGCACCAGGGTAGAGTGTGTAATAAAAATTAAATCCAGTAATACCTTATTTTGATGTCTTTCTTTTACATAAAAGCATTTAAAGCAGATTACATGATACTAAGAAACCTGCAGTGAACGGGATATAGTAGTTAGTTCCCTTAGAGAAAGGGTTTTGCCACTTACATTTTATTAGCAAACAGCGAACCACAGTTTTGTCTTTAACCCCTGGGGGAGCAGAAGGTTCTGCCTTGAAGGTAAAATGTTTCTTGCAGCTTGGTTTGAAGAAGCTGGCAACCTATTGAAAGTAAAGGCAATTCCATGGAGTCGCTAAAAGCTTTTAAAAACTCAGTATTTGCCCTTTATAAAAGGCTAGGTGCTTTCAGTAATGATAACTGCAGTAACCAAGCAAAGTAAATGATAGATGGGGAGAGAGAGAGATGGTCAAGCTATTACTCTTTAACAGCCTTCAGACAGTGATCACAGGTAGAAAAATCCTGGCATTTCACAAACTGAACAAGCCTTTTTAGCTTCTTTCTCGTAGAACGACGATCAGAATGCGGTTCTGCTGCCGCCCGGCGAACAGACGTCGGTACTGCAGCTCAGGCGCCGCGCATGCGCAGTGACGCCCCTGTGCTCCGCGCTGCCGTCTGCGGGAACGGCGATGCGATGCTGCGGTGCCTCCGGGGCGGTGCCGCCGCGCTCGCTGCTGCCTCCCAGTAAGGGAACGCCGCTGCCGCCCTACGTCCGCGGTGTCGTCGGGCGCTCGGCAAAGCGCAGGACTGCGGCGCCCGTGCCGCCCCCGGCCACGCGCCGCCCGGCGGG